ACACACTCCTCTCTACCACACACTCCTCTCCACCACACACACAAACCACCCACACACTCCTCTCTACTGCCTCAAAACACACACAACACTACTCTCCACGCACACAGCACACCTCTCCACACACAACACACACCACTACTCTCCAACACACACAGCACTACTCTACACACACAAACACTACACTCTATACACAGTACTCTTTCCACACACACTCCTCTCTACCACACCCACACAACACACCCACACAACACACTCCTCTCTACCACACACAACACACTCCTCTCTACCACACACTCCTCTCTACCACACACAACACACTCCTCTCTACCACACACACAAACCACCCACACACTCCTCTCTACCACCCACTCACACTACTCTCCACACATTCTCCACTTCCCCACTCCTCTCCCCAGTACGCCCCCATTCGCCCCCATTCTCCACTTCCCCAGTACGCCCCCTCCCACACTACTCCCCCCTACCCCCCCCCCCACTCCACTCACTACTCCCCATCCATACACTACTCTCCACTTCCCCACTCCTCTCCCCAGTACTCCCCCCCCAACCCCCCACTACTCCACTCCACTCCCACTCCCCTCCCTACTCTCCCCTTCCCCACTCCTCTCCCCAGTACTCCCCACTCCTCCCCCCCCAACTCCACTCCCACTACTCTCCATCCATACACTACTCTCCACACTCTCTCCTCCCCCACTCTGTAACGGACTCACCGACTCACTCCACTCACCACACTCCCTGTAACACACACACACTCCACTCCCTCTAACACACACACTCCACACAACACACCAGCACAGCGCGCGCGCGCACACACACACACACACACACACACACACACACACACACACACACACACACACACAGAGAGCACAGTGGCAGCAGCAGGCAAGACAGAGAGGCCTGCTGTGCCTATGAATCAGCTCCTCTGGCCGGGGCTCGAACTCAGGCCGCAATGGTGAGAGCTCTGAGCCTTAGCCCCTAGGCCATCAGGGGAAGTCCTAACCTGGGAGGGTTAAGGTAGACCTATTAAGGGTCTGATGTAATAAGGACCACATAGGCCTAACGGACCACCATAGGCCTAAGCACCTAATCAGCTAAATTTACGAAGTAAAACACTTCACTGACCCTTTACCTCTTTCAGGATGTAATCACATAAAAGGGGTACACATATACTTTTAATTATTCAATGAAGGCTTAAGCTTCGGAAATGCAACTGCTAGTCCCAGTCCCACAGATCCCTTTATAAGTGGTGGTTTTCCTTGCATGTATACAGAATGCATATAGAATGCACAGCGGTGTAGAGAGCAAAGGTAACATGGACCCCCCCCCCCCCCATGAAGTATTGATGCCTTAGAGATAGATGTGGAGTGATAGCAAACATTTGAAGTGTGAACCTGTAACCCTAAAACAATGTAACCCAAGGATGCCTCAATAAAAATTTATAGTTTTTCCAGTAAACATTCAAAAGAATGCCCAATGGTCCACATGAATAGAACCTTCAAGAATTTTGTTCTATGAATAAAAAAAAAAAAAAAAAGGTCTACGGGACTACATTTAGCAGAGCATTTAAAAACCACATAAGGTGTAGAAGCATATCTTTTCCTTTTTCTACAGTGATTCCAAGCCAACCTTCTACTGTCAATGTAGCAGGGGTGGGGGGAAATATGAGGATCCACACAAAGGACTATGGGGGAGAACTATAGGGAGCATTACAGTACATGAGCAATGATGTCTGAAAAATACATGCACTTTTTTTTTTTTTAACAATGTCACCCATCAACAGCAGTTAAACCCAGCACCCATCATTGCTACTCTATAGCATAATCTGCAAAGCTGCTGGTGTGCACCTGATAAGAGGACATTGTTGGGTAGGAGACCATCACACTCTGCACCGGAGTTCCCTGCTGGCTGCTCATCATGCTCTGACTCTGAGGTGGCTGCTGCACCCCCATGAGGCCTTGGAACCCCTGTTGACCAGACAACACCGGCTGGTAACCTGCCACAAAACAAAACAAAAAGTACCTTCTGAATTGGTTGTGCCAGAAAGAATGGGGAGCAGTGATATTTCATAGGGTAGGCATATGTGTTCACACTACAACAGCCTTCAGGCGCCTCCAGGTGCCTCCAGGCACCTCCATGTGAGGAATGTGAGCTTTAGAAAACTTGTTCCCTCAAATGCTTCTAAAAATGGATAAGATCATGGTTCCAAAACACCCAGTGATCCTCACATCTTCATGCAGAATGGTCTACTGTGACAATGCTAGATTCTTCCCAACACTATGACAGGCCTCGGCTGATGTTCGTTGATTGCTAACAATCGTGACCTTTGTGTTTTCCTTTATAATACTGCCAGTAAAGTTTTTTTCTTTTATCATCAAAATTGGCTAATTCTCTTACTCTTTCTTTTTGCCTGAAGTCATTGCACACAGGTCTCACCACTTATTAATTTTGCACAGATTCCATTTTTCACAACATAGTGAATAAAATGATTGACTATCCTGAGTAATTCAAATGTCCATTGCCTTAGTCATAAGGCCACAACAAGTAAAAAAGGCATGATAAGCTTTTCTTCTTTGTTGCCACTAGTTCCCAAGAGAAGGGTCTACTAAAACAATCACTAAGTGACTAGCTAGGAAGAATATAGGCTATTATAATGAACACATTTGTTTGGCTTCTGGGTTGGTGAGTTGCTTGGGATTCTTTTCTAAGTTCACTAGAATTTATACTAATTATCTTCATTGTCACTCACCACAGCAAGAGATTTGATGTGTATTCTTAAAGAAAAACTGAATTGTTCATATAAATCTTGGAAAGAAAGGTGATTTAGGTGCAAATGACATGATGGTAGATGAAGAAAAGAATCACTTCATGCTGTCCAGTAAGGTTCCTTCTGAATTCATATTAACTACACAGACAAATACGTGCATTACAGTCTTCATACAATTCTGACAATAAACTTTTTAAGTCCTACATTTCTTCACATAAATCCTAAGCTAAGTTATAGAACCATATATAAAAATTCCAACATAGGGTAAACACATTTGCATCAATAAACATTACTGATTGAGTATATTGGAGAAGCTTCAACTGTATTGAGGAACGATAACAGTTTTCTATCGTCTTTACAGAACACAATTCTTTGCTGCCTTCACCATACACTCATTAGGGAAACACGACTTGGGAAACATGACTTGCAACGAGTAGTTGAATGAGGAGGTCAGCCCAATTCATCGAAGGAGATTGAAAAATAGTGCAGTCAATTTGGAACATCTGAGAGAACAAGGTTGGCAGGAAAGGCAGGATGAGTCACGGAAAGCTTGTGGTTGGGGGCTGCAGCAAGTGAGTGCTTTATAGAGACCCCTCGCTTATGCCCCTTGTTTTTCATTCACAGTACTCACCCTCTATCACCTTCACAATGGTTTTCACTTTTCGAAAACAGTTTGTAAAGACACCCCCACGTTAAAATAAAATTAAAGATAATGGCCATCTTCCTGCAAACTACATTTTGTCCACAGTGCGATGAGAGCCCTTTAAGACTGGTCACATCTGATACCTAAAGCGTTTACAACTTACACAGGAAAAGACATTGTATTTGGGAACAAGCAATTCTACAAAAGCTCATTCACTGTCCTCATGCCCTCCTAGAATGTTTAATATAGAGGCTTTTGTAATATGAATTACAAAAAAAAAGTTTGTTTTTTTTTCTGGAGTCTGGAGAAAAGATTTCATCTCCAAGTTCTTACCCATCTACTCACTCCTGGTTCTTTTTTTTTTTTTTTTTTACCATTTCAACAAATATTTTTATTTATTTATTTATTTATGTTTAATTATTACAAAAATTTATTTTTACATCATTTTGCACATTTTTTTTTCCATCTCGATTGTAATCCCCGTGGGTTTCCCATCACCAAATCACCTGTGTGCCACCACCATAGTCCCGTGCATTTAAAAAAGTTTTTTTTTTTTTTACCATTTGCCATTCCTGAGTTTACCCCGTCCAATATTCATTGGCCCTGAAAAATAACTTTTCTTTTATTGTTTTACTATGGCTTCATTGCTAATTTCATCGATTCCCTGATAGCACCGATTGCTACATATGGAGGAAAATATCCATCACTTAAACCACAATGGTAGAAAACATAGGAGCAATCTCCCTTGCCATTTTGTTGCATAGCAAAATGCCAGCAAGGCGAATGCATTCGATGTCCTCACAATGGTGCCTATAATTAACCTTACTTTTGGTTCAAGATGCAAAGCCCAGGTAGAATACGAGAGCTATGCCTTTAAAATGTGTACAAATACAAATTTTACAGGGAAAGCCCAGTTGGTCTTTTGACGAACACACACAGCTACTATCTAAACAAAAGCGGAGAGGAAAGTCTGGGGGTGGCATGGACGGGGCAGTGACCTTGCGTCTAACGATTATTTATCTATTTGCTTATTGAAAACTTCCATCCTTTTACAGAGTCATCTTCACAATGACTGTTTCCCAGAGCCTGCTCAAAAATAAATTGAGATGGCCTCTGAGAGATTTATTTATTACAGCAGCTTGAAAACAAAACGGGTGAAGGCAAAATAAGTCTTATGATAATAGAGCTGTTAAGACACACAAAACCAGCATGTCTTGGTAGAACAAGGAAGCAAACATCAAATACCATTCAAGGCGAGAAAGAGAGAGTCGAGGGTGGGTGACATCACCCCAATAAAGGCGCAGAGCCTGAGACCAGGATTTATCTTAGCTGAGAGCACAGATGCTGTCACACCCCAGCGTCTCCCCCTCCCCGGGCCTCCTCTGCCGATGATTTGTGAACTTTAATATTCAGTTATGTATAGCACAGGGCTACCGGCCCTGCACCGGTGTTCCCACAGTAAACACACTTAAGGCAAATAAAGATTTATGTGAGCAGCGAATAATGCTTTCTATTTCAAAATGAAAATTTAAGTGTAAGGAAAGCCCAATTTATATTCATGAATCTCATTTCTCAATTCGCTCTCCAGGCAAGACATTTACACCTGGACTGGTTTAATTGGAGATGCCCATTTCTGTAAATGATGTTACCAATGTCGGTAGCAGACTGGTCTTTAAGATAGGAGGATGTGTGGAATGGGACTTGGAGTTCCCGTCCAGGAAGAGACTAATAAAAATGTGCTAACAGTGACCCAAGGATGCACTATGAACTAGCCCTGTCTGCCTGGGAACACAACACGCTGGAAGCAGACATGGTGGCCCCGGTCCAACCTGCTCATCTCATCTACTCAAGTGAGGAATGTGCTACTTGTCCATGCCTTGCTGTGAAATGATCAGTTTTTCATAATTATGGAGGATTAGCAAACTATAAATCATCTTACTAGAAACATCAACAACAACACCTGCCCTGTAGGTTAGCTACGGAGTTCATGAAGACACGAGCTGTTGTTCTTTTTCTCATTTGCCATTAATTCAATTTGTTTTACTCATGTGTCACTTAATTTCTGAAGGTGAGGAAGTTACAAAAGGACAAATGCTTCCTAGCAAATACTCTGCTAAAGTGGAGGGGTAGTAAGATTTAATAGTCTGCACCTTGAGGCATCTGCAACTTTTACAATGTTTCCAGGACACTTAAACAGTTACTAATTATTCACATTTTAACAATAATTCATCAATATTCTGAGTAGGCCATGTTTTCCTTGATACACAGTTATGAAAAACCAGAAAGCTAGTGGATTTTGGATTACAAATTGTTTGACTGCAACTGACATTATTTTTAATGTCATTTGAATACTTTGTCACAGATCCAGGATTTTGGAAATGAATGAAATGATCACATAGTAACCAGATTTTAAGATTTTGCTACCTGGCTGTTGCTCTTGGTTTTGGAGGTTGAAGTTGAGGATGGAAATAGTTGAGAAGGCAAAAATTTATGTACTAAATTGATTGAAAAGTTAATCAGTTCTCACTGCTTCCACCAACCAAGTAGAGAGAATTGCATATTACATTTATTGAATGAAGAATTCCAAATATGGTAGATGTCTTTTCGATAATTAAAATTAGTAATCTGCTTCATAGCAAAATTAGTTATCTTGGTACAAATATTTCTCAGAGTTCCTAAGGAACAAACTGGCTATTTGATGATGCACCTCAAATGTACCTATGTAATTCTGAGTTGCATTTGCAGTAGCTCAGCTATTTCATGGCTGGGGACCGAAAGGAAGAAAACTACTTAGCAGGATTAGATTCTCCCTTTGCTGATTTTTATAGTTCAAGCATTGTGTCACTTTGCAACTACTGATCTACTTCTCTTTCTTGTCTTCTTATCACTGCTACATTTTCAAAATCCTGTGAGGATTTTGCCATTATAAACTACCTAACTATATTTGTTCATCCTTTATTCCAAAGAGTGTGGCAAACTCTTTCACCTATTGTCACAACAAGCCTGAGAGATGGTCACTATAATAAACTTTTTTACAACAGAGAAAACCGTGACTTAGAGAGCTGTAAGAACGAGTTAGGTCTGCAGGAGGGGAATCTAGAATTTCAATTGTAGTTCTCTGTCTTCATCACACGTTGTTTTCAGTCACTAAACTATATATATCTATGTTTATGTCTATATGTAGATATAGATATTACATATCTTGCATTTATCAAATAAAAGCCAAGGTAAAGCATAATCACATGTCAAGTCTGTTCATGCCACTCAACGACACGGAAAGGTTTGTTAGAGAACTAGACAACAAGACAGACAGTTGGGTGGAGTAGGGTGGGGGTTGGTCAAAAGGATTCCAGTGCCGGCCCTCCCTGGTGGCGCAGCTGGTTAAAGCACAGCACTGAGAATCTAAAGCCGCTTCCGCATGAGTTCGATTCCCGCCTGCCCCCGAGGTGACCACATGGCGTGGCAGACCTCTCCTGACCCGCCCGCTGCTCCCCTCAGCAGTGTACTTCGTCGATCTGCCTGTTCTGCTCCCCACTCTGTCTCTGGTGAATCCTCTCACCCTCCGCGTCTCTGGCCTGTACCCCAG